AGAATACTTGGTTATCCTTCAGTTAAACAGATGGTCTTGGTCAATGATCTTGACCTAGAGCTACTCACTAGGGTTGACAGCATATTAAGCAGGTGACATTACTGAGAAGGGATTCTGAAAATGGTAAATAATGCTTGGGGTGGTGGTTTCATTAGGTACAATAGTACAACCTATTACCTGTTGCACTAGCTTGGGAAAACTTTCAGAGCACATACATAGAATTTTACAAAATATGTTAAAAACAGTGACTCAATTTTTAGTAGACATACCCTTCAACTTGAGAAAGGCCTAATTCCACTGCCAATGCAGTTAATACTTCTTAGAGGTATACTTTCAACCATATAGATTTTAGGATTGAGCCTGAAAAAACCTGTTCTGATATGAAATGAATGCTGATTTTGGAGTCAGATAAAATAGTTCAAATCCTCGCTTTACCACTTACAGAGTGACCCTTGGTAAATTTTAAAACCCCACTGGGCCTTAATTTTATCATCTGTAAAATGGGAATAATACAGTCCACCTATAGGGCTATTGTGAGGATTAGTGAGTGTACATAAAGCATCTAGCACTAAGCATATCATAAGTAGTTTAGGAAATGCTGTTAAAGGTAGTGGCCTTGTCATCACAATCATCATCATCATCAAATAACAAGTGGCAATGATCTATGGCCTCCCCGTTCTCAACTCAGATATTTGTAATATAAACTAAAGCACACATAAAAAATGGGTAGGGCATGGTAATCCTAGCACTTTGGGAGGCTAAGGTGGAAGGATCACTTAAGGCCAGGAGTTTGAGACCACCTTGACAACACAGAAAGATTCCTATCTCTACAAAAATAAAAAACTTAGACTAGGTGTGGTGGCTCACGCCTGTAATCCTAGCACTCTGGAAAGCTGAGCCAAGTGGGAGGATCACTTAAGGCCAGGAGTTTGAGACCACCTTGAACAACATAGAAAGATTCCTATCTCTACAAAAATAAAAAACTTGGCTCGGCGCCTATAGCTCAACCGGCTAAGGCGCCAGCCACGTACACCTAAGGTGGCGGGTTCTAATCCCCAGCCCGGACCCGCCAAACAACAATGATGGCTGCAACCAAAAAATAGCCGGGCGTTGTGGCGGGCGCCTGTGGTCCCAGCTACTTGGGAGGCGGAGGCAGGAGACTCGCTTGAGCCCAGGAGTTGGAGGTTGCTGTGAGCTGTAATGCCACGGCACTCTGCCCAGGGGGACAGCTTGAGGCTCTGTCAAAAAAAAAAATAAAAATAAAAAACTTAGACCAGGTGTGGTGATTCACCCCTGTAATCCTAGCACTCTGGAAAGCTGAGGCGAGTGGATTGCTTGAGCTCAGGAGTTAGAGATCAGCTAGGGCAAGAGCAAGATCCTGTCTCTACCAAAAATAGGAAAAACTAGCTGGGCATTATGGCTAGTGCCTATAGTCCCAACCCAACTACATGGGAGGCTGAGACAAGAAGACTGCATGAGCTATGATGCCAGGGCACTCTACCTAGGGCAAGAGTAAGACTCTGTCCCAACAACAACAACAAAAAAGGCTCGGTGCCCATAGCACAGTGGTTACGATGCCAGCCACATATACCAAGGTTGGCGGGTTCAAACCCAACCCAAGCCAGCTAAACCATGACAACTGCAATACAAATAGCCAGGCATTGTGGCCAGCGCCTGTAGTTCCAACTACGTGAGAGGCTGAGGAAAGAGAATCCCTTAAGCCCAACAGTTTGAGGTTGCTGTAAGCTATGACACCACAGCACTCTACCGAGGGCAACATAGTGAGATTCTGTCTCAAAAAAAAAATAAAAAAAATTAGCCAAGTGTGATGGCTCCTTCCCATAGTCCCAAGCTACTTGGGAAGCTGAGGCAGACAGATCGATTTGGAGCCCAGGAGTTTGAAGTTGCAGTGAGCTATTATGATGCCACTGCTCTCTTAGCCCAGGAGAACAAAGTCAGACCATCTCTCTCAAAAAAAAAAAAAAAAAAGGAAAGAAAGAAAAAAATGCATCTGGAGTAGCCATGCATACATACATTAATTGGCTCTTGGTCACAAAACAGAAGAGCTCCTTGGAGAAGTCCATAGTTAGCCTCCTTTCTTCCCACGCAAAAAGCAAGGCTTACAACAGGGTAGAAATAGAATTAGTAAAGAGACTGCTGCAGACAACTCACTAACAATGTGGAGGAGAGCTGGAAAGAAGAAAAATAAACCATAAAAAAGCAGACAAATGAGCTAAAAAAAGAGGACCATTTACTGGAGAGGCACAAAAGCTTACAGCCTCACTAACCTGAGAAAATCACTCTAAGCTAGAACACTACCATTCTAACCTACTTCCACCAAAAGAGGTTTCAGTGTACTTTGTAAAAAAACATATGCAAGGGAGAACTCTCTAACTGCTCTACACAGGGAATTGCTGGTGTAATAAAAATAGGTGAGTCTAAGAGTTGTGACTTTTCCATTGTCTTTCTTTCATCAAAATCCTATTTTAAGAAAAAACAATTTAAAGCTGATGTGGAAGACAAAACACATTATATTATTTATGTCTTCCACTGCCCCTCCCTCCTGGTTTTGGCTCTTTTAGACCTGTTTTTTCTCTTATGAACCTACATCTGACCTGAAGATGTAACAAGCTCTGAGTTTTAAGCTCTAGAAGAATTAAAAAACTGGAATATATTCATTGAAAATAAAGGAGTCGAAGCAGGTAGTGTTCTTTCTTTTTTTTGAGTAACCAACTATGGAATGCACCAGTCTTCATGTTCAGGAAGAAGTTCAGAGCAGCTGCTGCAACCTTACCTAACACCAATGCAGCACTATGGGACCAGGCATTGAGCTATGTGCATCACATAAATTATTTCACTTAAACATCATAATAATCTTAAAAAGGACTATTATTATTCCTATGTTAGAGATGGTTTTCAAGGTAAGTGCTAGAACTGGAATTTGTACTTTGGAGTTAGGTTTATTAATATGGTGCAAAGGACCAAGTGCTTTATTTTTAGTTTATCTGAGTATTTGTTAGATCTGTCACTGCATTAGACATTGTCTTGTCAGTGTATTAAAGAATATATCTTCACTTGACTAGTTAAAAGAAAAGTATGAACACTGAAATAAAAATGAAGTAGTTTGCACAGTATTTGCTTTTACCTTTTTTTTTTTTTTTTGAGACATTGTCTCACTCTGTTGCTCAGGCTAGAGTGCATTATGGCATGGTCATAGGTCACTGTAACCTTTAACTCTTGGGCTCAAGTGATCCTCCTGTCTCAGTCTCCCAAGTAGTTGGGACTTCAGATGTATGCCATTATACTTAGCTAATTAAAAAATATTTTTTTGTAGAGACAGGTCTTACTCTGTTGCCCAGGTTGACCTCGAACTTCTGACCTCAAGAGGTCCTCTTGCCTCAGCCTCCCAAAGTGCTGGGATTGCCATGGCCAATATTTGCTTTTTCAGTACCTTCTTTCTCTTGCACTCACTTCTTTTTCTTCTCTCTTAAAGTTCTAAGTTAGAATTGAAGAACAGAATAGTGAAAAAAAAAGGCTGGTTAAAATAATGATTTGCATTTTTACCATCTAAAAAGAGCTTGCTCCCATAAACTCTTTTCAGTGCTAACTGAAACATATGAACTATTTATTTCAAGCCTTGAGATTATCTCATAAAAGCAAACCTTTAAAAACATCACTGTTTTTTTTTTGGGTTTTTTTTTTTGAGATAGAGTCTCAAGCTGTCACCCTGGGTAGAGTGCCGTGGCGTCACAGCTCACAGCAACCTCCAACTCTTGGGCTTAAGCGATGCTCTTGCCTCAGCCTCCCAACTAGCTGGACTATAGGTGCCCACCACAATATCTGGCTATTTTTGGTTGTAGTTGTCATTGTTGTTTGGTGGGCCTGGGCTGGATTCAAACCCACCAACTCCAGTGTATGTGGCTGGCACCCTAGCTGCTTGAGCTACAGGTGCCGAGCCCATTGGCACCAAGCCCATCACTCTTATTTTTAAGTGGTGAAAGGGACCATAAGAGAGTGTCTGTTTAACTCCTGATATTATGTAAGTACTGAGAACTTCCTTGAGACAGGACCAGAAACAAGGTCCTTTAAGGCCTAACTTATCTGTGGCTCCCATAAGACTAGTCTTCAAGTTGTATCATGAGGTGGTCTATCTCTGGCTGACATTAGATCAATGAATCTAAATGAGTACTCCATGGGGCATATTATTTCTCTCTGCATGTGAAGGAAACAAGTGGAAAGGACACACATTTACAGAACAGTTAAGAGTCATTTGATTATATGTAGTATAATAGGAAACATACAAAAAGAGACCAGCTTCTACCTTTAGCATAGATCATGACTCAAAGCATTAGCACTTTGAGAATTCTCTTACTACTGTAGAACCATTTTGTGTTTAAGTTCACTCCTATTTAAACATTTGCCAATTCCTAAGAAAGGTAACAGACATTCTTATCTAGATTTATTTCTAATAATCTTTCTATATCAATTGCCCACATAAGTGTTTAAGGCCAGGTATCTATAGGGTTCATTATATTCTCGCTGGGCTCTATCTTTGATTTCTACAGAGTTCTGGGAATTATATATCTTTTGAATTCCATGTAGTACAGTTATAGGCTGTAATGCTAATGTGGTTTTGTGATTATACATCAAACAGATGAAATGACTTAGAAGTCTTGGACTTTTTTCTCCTTAAGATTCTCGTGGCACATTATAGCTTCATTTTTAAGTTCTACACTGGAAAGAAGACTGGAGAGTTACAGTAATGCTTCATCCCAACTAAAATGCTTCATCAGTGCATGATCTTGGAACTACTTAACCATGATGTGCCTTTATTTTGCTCTCTATGAAACAGAAAGAAACTCATATAGGTGTCATATGACATATCTAAAGAGCTCTGGACACTGTGGAGAAAGGCAAAGACTTTTTAAAGCCACTTCCCCACATCCAAAAGGAGGGAACCCTAAACAAATAATCTGGGATTTTAATTCCACATAACTTACCTATATCGCTCCTCCTGTAACGTCTGCATTATTAAGGAATAGTCCCTCTGGTAATGTTCCTTGAGGGTCTCAAAGGATTCCTCTAGTCTGGCCTGGGTTTCTCGGATCTCCTGGATCTCATGTAGTAGTGCATCAAATCCTGAGCTCTGCATGTCCAGGGTGTTTGTTCTGGAGCTGGATGCTCCTACAGCAATGCCTCCAGTGGTGCTGTTGGCTCCCACTGAGCCTGAAGTAGCACTAGAACAATCCTCCTCACTACCATATTTTGGGCTCGACTGAAAGTTTGAAATCACCCCCAAAGCCTTGCCCCCATCATCTGCTTGCCCTTCCTCTAAAGAGTCCTTTAGGTTAGGGATGTTGTCTGCACTGCCAAATTTGTTCCGAATCAGCGAGGCAATCTCTCTAGGCTTTGAGACCACGGCCCCTGCTGCTGAATGAGTGGCCTGGGAGAAGCTGGAAAATCCACCTTTGACACTATCCACCACACCTTCGCTGAAGCCAGTCACTTTTGCTCCCACATCCTTTAGACCCTGGTGCATGTCCCTGAAGACATCCTTTGGCTGCCGGGGGATCCCATTCTGCTCCACCTCTCGGAGCTTTCTGTGGTAGTGCTCAAGCTTCTTTTGCAGTTGCAGGATGGTCTGGGCAGATTTCTGGTTCTTCTTCTCAAAGACCTGCTTGATACGGGCGGCCTGCTGCTTGTCTGCACTGTTGGCAAGCTTCAAGTACTCAGCAACGTTATCGTCCCGTGCTGTTTGTGCAATCTTGATCTGTTCTGTAAGCTTCAGGATCTTCTGCTGCAGGTGAGCAATGGCAGCCTTTGTGCGCTGGGGGTCTGGTGTACCATCCACAGTGTCTGTGTGGATGCTGCCATCAGTACTGGAGGCCACTGCACTGGAAGTCTGGGCAAGGCTGCTCACTTCCAACCGCTCGATCTAGAATAAAAGCAAGAGGTAGATATTAGAAAAAGCCCAAGAGAACTACCTCTTTGGAATCAGTGTACTAAAAATGTACCTACCCTTAACTCTCAACACAGCTGACTTGCAATTCCTCCTGTCCTATATAAGCTTGGTCTCCCTCTTGGATACCGTCCTCATACAAATATACTATACTTTAACAAAACAGATATGTAGCATATAAAAAAAGATTTATACATATTTAAACTGGGGTATCCTTCTTTTCTTGTGAATTTATCATTGTATTTCTTTAAATAACAAAGCTCCCTAGTGGGTTTAAAGCATTAATTTTTTTTTTCTTGTGTTGCCCTTGGCACAGTGCCATAGTGTCACAGATCATAGCAACCTCAAACTCTTGGGCTTAAAGGATACTCTTGCCTCAGACTCCTAAGTATCTGGGACTATAGGCATCGACCACAACACCCAGTTATTTTTAGAGAGGAGGTCCCTCTCTGGCTTGGGCTGCCTTGGCCTCCCAGACTGCTAGGATTACCGGTGTGAGTCATTGTGCCTGGCCACTTCTGGGGCCCAGTGTGGTGGTTCACATCTATAATCCTAGCACTCAAGGAGGCTGAGGCAAGAAAGGAGGATCAGGATGGCACCTGTGGCTCAAAGGAGTAGGGCGCCGGCCCCATATGCCGGAGGTGGCGGGTTCAAACCCAGCCCCGGCCAAAAACTGCAAAACAAACAAACAAAACAAAACAAAAACAAGTAAGGAGGATCATTTCAGGTTAGGAGTTCAAGACCAGCCTGAGCAGAAGTGAGACACTTGTCTCTACTAAAAATAGAAAATATTTCCAGTTGCTGCAGTGAGTCCCTGTAGTCCCAGCTAATCAGAAGGATGAAGCAGGAGGATCATTTGAGCCCAGGAGTTTGAGGTTACAGTGATGACACTACTATACTCTGGCCAGGGTGACAGAACAAGACTCTATTTCCCAAAACAGATAAGCGTATACACACATGCACTCCTAACCCCCAAACCCAAAGCACTTTGGTATTTATATATCACTATAATTCTGATACAAATGTTAGCAAGAATAGGTTTGTTACTAATTAAATATGAAAATCCAATTTTTATCATGTCTCCTTATCCATGTCAAGGGTGATGGGATCATTCTCCAGATTCTAAGAAGGACATTTAATTGATAGCTGGAGACAGGTGGAGGTAGGTAGGAAGGTACTGATTAAAAGTGGCAAGGGTGAATGTTACCAAATCACAGGTAACTGTGACAACCTTGAGCAAGATAATGCAAATACCCAGGGATAGGGACAGTAAGAGCTAAGTAATTACACAAATCAAGGACCACGGCCAGGTCTTCTGAAGCTCCAATTTTGTGAGTTTTATCCAGTAAAGGTTTTTGTTAGGCAAAAGACTCCAAAGTACATACACTATTATTCCTTCACCTGGGTGAGAACCATGCAAAGGAATTAAAGAAAAAGACAAGCTGCTTAGACTTGAACACTTAAAAGTTCACACTTCAAAGCAATTAGCCAAAGCTGGAGAGAAATAAGCTTTCCCAAATTCAGGAGAAAAAAAAATCCTTCAAGAGGCTACCCCTAGGTGTTGCCTTTGGAAGTGAATTATAGAGTAGGGCCCAAGGAAAAAGGTTTTAGACACTGCTCTCTGTGATCAGTAACATAAATGAATAATAAAATAACCATCTTAGGGTAATAAAAATTCCTGGTATGGTTTCAAATTACAAATTTATGGCAAAGCGTAGTGGATCATGGCTGTAATCCTAGCACTCTAGGAGGCCAAGGCAGGTGGATGGCCTGAGCTCAGGAATTCAAGACCAGCCTGAGCAAAGTGAGACCCCATCTCTGCTAAAAATAGATAAACTATTCACGTGTTGTGGTGGGCACCTAGTAGTTCCAGCTACTCAGGAGGCTGAGGCAAGAAAATCACTGGAGCCTAGGAATGATGCCAGGGCACTCTAACCAAGGTGACAGAGCAAGACGATGCTTCAAAGAACAAAACAAAACAAAAAAACAAACTCAAATTACAAATTTACCATCCTGGAGACTAAGAACATACTTTTTCTTATTTCCCACCCTTAATTTGTATTTAGGGGCAATTTGCTAGTAAGAATTATATACAGATTATCTCCCCTCATATTTTCATGGTAATATACCAAATCTGAAATAGTCATGAAATGCCAATAATTAATTTGCCATCCTCTATCTTTTTTTGATCTCAAGTGTATTGCCTGTTTGTTATCTGAACTAGAATTATGCTGATCTCTAAGTCAGAAAATACAATTAGTTCATTACTGGATTCAATATCCAAAAGAACCGCTACAGTTGACCACCCAAAGTACTATAATAAACTAGTCAACATACAGAGGTACACATAAGAAATTAGGCTTATGGTACTGATACATACATGTGGTACATGTCCAGTTTATAAAAATTAGGCCAACTTAAGGAGGCTGTTAATGTAGCAAGATGGTCAACTATGGAAGTTCTATTGCATTACCACTGATGTGAATAAAAACAATATTCTTTTCTTTCTAGACAAATGAGAAATATTGTGCATTTAAATAAAATTGAAAGATAATTTAATACTGAAATTACTGACATGCTTCACTAGTCAATAAAAAAGAATATCCATAAAAATAAAATTACATTAAAAAAAGAATATCCAGAATAGTTAGAGACCAGCACAATAATTGCTTTGTGTCACTTTTTAATTTTCCTTCTGCCCAATTCATTTTATAGGCTCAAGTTAACAGGCAGAGGAATAGCCAGAAGCAGCAGAAGACAAGAGGAGCCAAAACTCCAGATAACCAAATTGCCAAGAGTTGTGACAACAGCTGCTAGAAATCCACTTTCTTTAGTGTCCAAAGTCTTCTAGTTTGTACAAGGTTCTCACTGATTTGCTTTCTGAATGGGATTTCAGACCCCGTAACTACAATATATTATATGACCTGATCTACTGTTTATGTTTAATAATTAAGCATAAAATCTTATGTTTAAAGCATAAAGAAAAGCAAATATGATGAAGACCCCCTAGACAAAAAGCTCCAAGTGTATTGATTTATAACTAAATCAAGTATACATACTTGAAGTATACATATGAAAATCAAGGTCAACCTGAGATGATCAGAATTGATCATACTGGTGAAAAAAACCCCCACAATAAACCCTTTAACAAGTATCACATAACGATGTTTCAGTCAATGATGGACTGCATATATGACAATGGTCCTGAAAGATCATAATACTGTTATTTTAACTGTACTGTTTCTATGTTTAGAAACACAAATACCTACATTGTGTTACAACTGCCTACAGTACTCAATTCAGTAGTGTGCTGTTTAGGTCTGTAGCCTAGGAACAACAGGGTATATATACCACAGAGCCCTGGTTTGTGTAAATGCACTCTACGTGGTCACACAAGGACAAAATCGCCAAATAACATATTTCTCCGAACATATTCCTAGCACTAAGCATCACATGGTTGTAATTATTTGTAAATGACCATATTTGAGATGTGATTTTTAATACTTGATCTTAGTTAAAAGGTCAAGAAAGGGGCACACTAGGTGTGATGGCTCATGCCTGTAATCCCAGCACTTAGGAGGCCGAGGTGGGTGGATTGCCTGAGCTCACAGGTTTGAGACCAGCCTGAGCCAGGGTGAGACCTTATCTCTAAAAATAGCCAGGCATTGTAGCGGGCCCCTGTAGTCCCAGCTACTTGGGAGGCTGAGGCAAGAGAATCACTTAAGCACAGGAGTTTGAGATTGCTGCAAGCTATGATGCCACAGCAATCTACCAAGGGCGACATGATTTTTTTTTCTCCCTGCATGGGAACTGAAGAAATACCAGACCTATTTCTGTCCCACCTTGGCTGTTCTGAGCCATAGTATGTCCTCTTGTGTGTGGTTCCCACTCACGAGAATCATTATCATTGCATGAGTACAGCTAACAGAACCCCAGGTCTTTAGTCTCTAAAAAAAAACTAACCAGCACAGCTTTGTCAGGCAAGTAGTTTAACACCTGAAACCCTGAATCACTATGAATCACTAGATTACTTAGTAACTCCTTCCAATTCTGGCAGGCACTATTCTTAAAAAGGAAGGAGAAACTGGGAAATGAGGGGAGGGAAGAGGAAAAGAGGATAATTGACAGGCAAGGGAGGAAAAAGAGGAAAGGAAGAAGAGTGGGTGGGAACAAGAGAGGAGCGGAGGAGGAAAGAAAAAGATACACTGAACTACAGACTAATTGGGGAGGGGAGGTGAACATGCTTGGTATTGTTCTGAACCATGAATACAGTCCTTAAAAGGGACGTCCATCTCTAGGCAAAAACACTTAGCGATGAGTTATGAACATACCAACTGAAAAGCAGTTCTTTTTTCAGTAGCCTTTGCTGGTATATTAGGCTGTCTATGTATAACATAAAACTAGATACTAACACATCCAGATAGACAATTAAATTCCAAATGTAAAAGGTAAAATTTCAAAACATTTCAAAGGCAGCATTGGAAAACAGGGAAGGATATTCTTAATCATACACAAAAAGGCACAAATCCAAAAAATAAGATTACTAAAACTGACTCCATTTAGTGTAGCAGTGAAGCATGGATTTAGGCATAAATGGCTTGGGTTCAAATCAGGCTTTGCTACTAAGCCCTATGACCCTGGGTAAGTTACTTAAACTCTGTTGATTTTGTCAACTGTAAAATGGAAACATGCTAATGCTTGCTTTATGGAAGACTACTGTGAGGATGAAATTGTAACTAGTAGGAAGGGAGGGTATCTAGGGATTATAGGAATTCAACCACCTTGAGCATTCAATCTGTTCTGCAACCTTTTGTTTAGAGGACTTTGGCTTCCCAGCTGGCTAAAACTAGCCCCTGCCAGACCCCAGCAGTTTATAGATAAACTCAAGTGAACTTTCCTCATTACCATGCTGAAGTCTACCTACACCCCAGAAAGACCTGTAACTTCATTACCATAACATGGGCCTGTGTTCTAGT